TAACAGTTTCAGTCGATTGGAACTATGTCGATCCGTTGGTCGTGGGTTCGAATCCAAAATTGACCTAGATTATGATTATGACCCTTGGTTTTCTCAAAGTTGACTTGCGCAATACCTTGGACCTTCCTTCAACATTAAACAGTTTATTGAAAGAGGCGTTAACATACTGAACGCTTTTTGAAAGCAATCCAAAAGAGTTGGAAAGATTTCTGAATCGTATATGAAATATGACGCTAAAGAGAATTGGTCACTGTGCACATTGACGGTGAACAAGAGAGTTTCGTAATGAATTCCATTTTTTCCAATCTTACCATACAATAGATAGCATCAAATACACATTAAAACACGTATCAGGTCAGAACTAAATAACTGACATCATATCGTGTAATTTACGGTTTAATAAGCAATGATATCGTTTGATTTGTTGTAATGTACGATATAAAAATCTCAGTTTTTAATTTACACCTATAAATTCCAGGAGTGTGTGACCCCTTTGACTCCCCCGCATGCGCAGCTAAGAATGAGTGGGTGTCGTGCAAAGGGGCAGAACTGGAGTGCGATGCAATCAACTCGCCAGGTAAGTTATTCAGTTTATTACCCATGGCCCTATGCAATGTTTTCGGTGATGATACGTTGTCGTGATTAAACTGGGAGCAAAACTGTATGTTTCTATGGACAATTGGATTAACCAGGAAGAATGTCATCGCCTTTATTTAACTAGATATATTGTTAAAGAGGTTGTATATAGTCCAATTGAATGCAAAGGTTAACACAGTAATCGGTTTGTACATAACTTAATCTTGAAATCCGTTAATGACCACACAACATCAGTTAGTATTCAACACACCTAGCACACAGGTATCGGTGTACAATCACAATACAATGAGTCACAATAAGCGGCACCAGCAATAAGTAACAGGCCCTAAAATTAGGTTAAGTGCACTCACGAAACTTGCCACTGAATGCCTTGACACAGTCTGGTCCCATTCATGAATGCAGAACAGTATTAGAAGCAGTCAGGAATACAAATAGCATCCAATCTTGGCAAGTAGATGTCATAAGTTAAGTCGAAAAAGGTCTAGAATCGCCTTCTTGTTGATCTGATATTTGTACAGCCAGTGTTATAGAATCTGTCCCATACCGAAACTTCAGGTACGATCAAGTCTGCCATGAACACGAATACAAGGGGAAGACAACTCTCGACATTTTACTGGCTCTTCACTCTTTTGCTGCCACCGATCATTTCTATTTATAAACATATTTACAACGGTTTCTGCTGCTTCAGAATCTGCTCACACATATGACTATATTTACCCTATAATAACGACAGATTCTTGGCTGAAGAACTATTATAATATATACTTCACAAGAAGAGAGAAGAACTTGTCTAATTTATTCATCTCTGCCTACAGATGTGCTGAACTTCACGATTCGGTTCCCTGAGACGGAAGTCCCGGCAGAGGACACCACCTATATGTGCATGATATTCGACGTCCCCTCTGACCGCGACTACCACTACATTGCAAGCAAGCCTCTCATCGACAACGACAACGTTATGCATCACGTCGTAGTCTACGGTTGCACAGACACGACAGGTGGGTGGCAAATTGAAAACAATTTGTTGAAGGTTTCTCTGTTGTGGTCACCATACGAACGGAACTATATTATGTGATTTCCCTTTGCAACATCCGGGTAAGATTACCTCCCCAACAGCCATTTATGGCCGTAAGAGGCGATTCTCGTAACCGGATCAGGTGGACAGGCTCGGTGACTTATAATTAGCATTCGTGACCAACTCGTCTTATTCCGGTACAAGCCGAATAGCGACTCGTGCAAACAGGCATACCTAAAACAATTGTCAACTCGTTGCGTAATGATTCACATATATTTCCCAATATATTATATATATTTCAGATGCAATTTAAAGCACATTGGTACGTGCGGAACTATACAGTATGATTGAACACATTTAACTGTGTTTTAGATATATTTTCAGATGCAAGACATTAAAATCGAAAATTATTTTTGAGTTATTCTTTTACGAAGAACTTGAAAACGCGCGCATTCTGATTGGTTAGTCGATTCATCGATAGGGGGACAAGTCTTCTTGCAGGTTACGGAAAGGGGCGAGTGGTGACGAAGGTTTTAATTAGTTGACAGAGGGTCATCATTCCATGAGGGCGGGGGGCGCAGCTTACAATATCAATCACTGAGATGTCTGGTCTTAAGTTTGACGTTAACCAACAAGCAAACAAACAAGTGGTACGAATATTTCAGAATCCCCATCACAAGTTCTGCAGTGTATACAGTGACACGTATATTTCTGTTTTGCAGAGGAAATACCAAACGCACCATACAAATGTGGTATGGATGCGGGGAAGGGATGCACGGTTGGTTTAGGAGGATGGACAGTTGGGTCTCCTGGAGAATGCCTCAACGACAACTTTGGACTATCTTTTGGAAAATCAAGATATACCCGGTTTGCCCTGGAGGTACCAGTGACAAATACTTCTTTTTTGTTTTGTCAGTAGTTTATCACCGAAGCAACATTACAACTATTGAGTCTATACCACACTAATTATTGATGCACAAAGATATAAGTTAAGCACACCCCTATTTCTGAACCATTGCAAATTGCAAAGATCATGGCATGGGATGACTGGCCACTGGAGCTGGGCGATACCAATGACATCGAATAGAACAAACATTTGACAACAAATAAAGAAGATATTGGTGTGTTGTGATTGAAATTTATTGACAAAAACATGGTAACACAGGTACTGGGTTTTTTACCTAAGACAATACCTCAAATAACTATGGAGCTGCAGGATTAAGTAAACGAGTTACGTTTGATGTTTCATGTGAAAATGTTCCTTAAAGTCTCTACTTGACATGACACGTGAAACAGATCAGTAGCGGGTAAAACCGTCACGTGTCCGCATGACCAAAACCACCCTACGTCTCATGCCTCCAGTCAGACGTTGGATCTATTGATGGGTCAACAACAACCACTCCTGATGCAATGCTGCTTCCAAATGGCGTTAATCTTGTACAGGAGGATCTCGTGCCTGCATGCGCCGCCCCAGAGTATCCCAAACATGTTCAAGGGGATTCAAATCTGGGTTCATTGCTGGCCAGGGTAGAGTCGTTAATGCATCGGCCCTCATGTAATCCACGACTTCATGTGAACGAAGAGGCCAGGCATTGTCATCGAGTAGAGTTGCAAGAGGGTGGTTGTCAAAATGAGGAACGACGACTGACCTCAAAACGTCCCGGATGTACTGAGCCCCTGTTAAGTTGCCCCTCATGGGGACCAAATCCAACCTCCAATCATGAGGTTACACCAATACGCCCTGCAAAACGAGCAGCGTTGTGGTGATCTCTCAACAAGGGGTGCTTTATGACTCGTCTAGCCCTCAGTCCTGCTGCTTTCAGCCGGTTGCTGACGGTTCTGGTGCTGAAACGACGATTGGGCAACCAGAGCTGTTTCAGACGAGTACTTGTTAAAAAGGGTTCTCGGCGTATGAGACTAAGAAGGTCCCTGTCTTCGCGATGTGTCGTCACAGGAGGTCTTCCGGATCTGGGCCGGTCCTGTACATCACCGGTCAGAGCATGTTTCTCGACTAAACGGCTTACGACAGTGTGATGATACCCCAAATTCCGACCAATGGCATTACAAGACATTTATGCGGTGTGCATGCCGATTAATTGGCCATTTTGTGGCGTTTCATAATCGCCTTCGTGCCATGGTCACACAATGTCATGGAATAACTGTTTAAAACCGAGCTTAAGAAAGCAGTTTTAATGTTTGGATATACTGCTTTTAGAGATACTCGGGGTAGCATGCTGCACGGGCAGATCATGCCTGGCTCGTGAGCTTTCATCACGCATGACTGATTACATCATCTCGAGAAAACATAATTCTTCACGTAATTATATCTTTCACGACTGTTACAAATATTGAGACAAAACAATAATGAATTATATTAGGGTGTGCGTAACTTTTTTCTTTGTGTATATTTGCATCCTACCAGCCTTGCTGAACTTTGTGTCCCCCTGTTAATTTCATTTCCATTCTGCCTTTTCCAGCCTTGCTGAACTTTGTGTCCCCCTGTTAATTTCATTTCCATTCTGCCTTTTCCAGCCTTGCTGAACTTTGTGTCCCCATGTTAATTTCATTTCCATTCTGCCTTTTCCAGCCTTGCTGAACTTTGTGTCCCCCTGTTAATTTCATTTCCATTCTTCCTTTTCCAGCCTTGCTGAACTTTGTGTCCCCCTGTTAATTTCATTTCCATTCTTCCTTTTCCAGCCTTGCTGAACTTTGTGTCCCCCTTTTAATTTCATTTCCATTCTGCCTTTTCCAGCCTTGCTGAACTTTGTGTCCCCCTGTTAATTTCATTTCCATTCTTCCTTTTCCAGCCTTGCTGAACTTTGTGTCCCCCTTTTAATTTCATTTCCATTCTGCCTTTTCCAGCCTTGCTGAACTTTGTGTCCTCATGTTAATTTCATTTCCATTCTGCCTTTTCCAGCCTTGCTGAACTTTGTGTCCCCCTGTTAATTTCATTTCCATTCTTCCTTTTCCAGCCTTGCTGAACTTTGTGTCACCCTGTTAATTCCATTTCCATTCTGCCTTTTCCAGCCTTACTGAACTTTGTGTCACCCTGTTAATTTCATTTCCATTCTGCCTTTTCCAGCCTTGCTGAACTTTGTGTCCCCCTGTTAATTTCATTTCCATTCTGCCTTTTCCAGCCTTGCTGAACTTTGTGTCCCCCTGTTAATTTCATTTCCATTCTGCATTTTTAGTTCCACTGGAACAACCCGAACGAAGTGAGCGGGTGGAAGGACAGTTCAGGAATGACTTTCTATTATACCCCCAACTTGAGGAAGTACAATGGCTCCGCCATGGCGCTCGGACAGATGCACCTTGCAATACCCCCTGGACGACCGGAGGTCACTTTCAGAGGGGAATGCACTTCTGACTGCACCCAAAAGTTGATGACAGAACCCATCTATGTCACATCAGGCTTGAATCATATGCATTATTTGGGTAAGTAACGTGAATTGTACTTGTTGAGTGTTTCATTTATATTTAGCTCACCTCACCGAAAGAGCGTGTGCTTTTGTCGTGACTCGCTGTGTGTTGTCCATTTGTATGTCAGTCGTTGTTTCATCATGAGTAACATTCTGATGCTGAAGTTTGGCAAAAAATATCTTCAAATATCTTGAGGAAAACATTAAGATTTCCACACAAGAAATTCAGCTATATGACGGCGGTCTGTAAATAATGTAGTCGGGACCAGACAATCCAGTGATTGACATCATGAGCTTCGATCCACGCAATTGGGATACGATGACATGCATCAACCAAGTCAGCGAGTCTGACCATCCGATTCCGTTAGTAGCCTCTTACGACAAGAATTGGTTGCTGGAGACCTATTCTACCACGGATCTTCACGGGTCTGTTCATGAAATAACCTCGAGGGCCTGGCGTCTCCTGTTTAGGGGCATTAAATTTGATTTTAATTGTTAATCCAATATTTGAAAATTTGAAGAATGTCTGACTATGACTGTGACGTGGAGCTTTCAGAGAAGGTTTCAAGATACGCATATCTTAAATTGTGCAGTTTTCGTAAAAAAAACGTGTCAAATGACCCCAATGTTGTAACCAGAACACTGACATCGTGAAAAGGTAAACAGATGTATGATTTTTTTTTTCCGTTACAGGCAAAGCAGGATTCGTTGAGCATATCAGAAATGGACAAAGACTCCGCTATCTGACCAATGAACCAGAATACAGCTATGACAACCCTCGCTACTTCAAGTAAGAAATAAATATCGTGGACATTCCGGGTTCAAATTGATAACCTCGACTTTGTCGTATGGGGCGACTTAATTATTCGGGTGATCAAGGTCGGTCACTTTATGTGTGTCATCGTACCCCGATGGAGTGAATCGTTGCTCGCAAAATCGATTACATTTTCAGACTGATGACGTGTAGTTGGAATAGTTCTGAGTGTTGCGTTACAACAACAACAACACACGAATCTAAACAAACTTCAAGAAACAAAGTTCTCACTGAATAACAGAACCTTTACAACCCATGAATATCCTATTCTACCCCAGCTTCAGTTGGTTGGTTGGTTGGTTTGTTGTTTTACGCCGCACTCAGCAATATTCCAGTTATATGACGGCGTTTTGTAAATAATCGAGTCTGGACCAGACAATCCAGTGATTAATATCATGAGCATCGATCCACGCAATTGGGATCGATGACATGCATCAACCAAGTCAGCGAGCCTGACCACCCGATCCCGTAAGTCGCCTTTTACGACAAGCATAGTCGCCTTTTACGGCAAGCATGGGTTGCTGAAGACCTATTCTACCCCGAATCTTCACGGGTCTCGGCGTCAGCACCTCCCCAGCATGAGGTGTGGTAATGGATCGGGTGGGCATGTTCGGTATCTTATTTGTCTAACAAAATCAATCACTGGATTGTCTGGTCCAGACACCGTAATCTACGGCCATATTGCTATGTTTGGCGTTTAACAACAAACAAACCCACATCAGATAATATCAACGAATTAACCGACAAGTAGTCAACTTTATTGTTGCTGTCTAACGTAATATTATTCGCATATAACGAAATGATTTAAGTTAGCTTTCGTAACATCCGGAGTTGGCTTCATTTCAATGATCCAATGATCCAATGATCCAATACTTTATGTCGCTTCAGATATAACGAACCAGTTGAAATTCTTCCCGGAGATAGCTTGGTGACCACCTGCACATTCGACTCCACGTACAAGAAGAAATGGGTATTCTATGGCGATGGAACATCCGATGAAATGTGCTTCGGGTTTCTGACGTTTTATCCCGAACATGCTATGAAGAATGCCTTTTGCATGTCGTGGAAAGGTATCAACACGTGTGGAAGAGAGAGCGTCATCGAAGAGAACTGCGATGCCTTTGGATTTATCTTCCAATACGACACTCAGTCTGCGGCGCTACGCAAGGCAGTCGACAAAAACTGCAACCTCGCTTCCAACCTGTGCACTCCTGAATGCAAGATGGCCGTCATGGACTTACTGCAACATCCATGCATGCGTGGAGGAGATGTGACACATTATGTCAGAAACCTCATTCAAAGTTCCAAAGCCGGTCTGGAGTTCCTCGGCAAGCTGAGAATGTGCGATGTGAAGAAGAATGATTTTGGCTTCCCCACTTCCGGTGCCACAGGAATCAGTATGGCGTCATCGCTGTTAATCATTCTTGCACTTCTCATGGTATAGATTCATAACATGTCTTGACTTGAAATCTTTCTCTTTTTTTCTCCTTTTTTAAATTTCTTTTTGGTTACTGACTGACTTGATTTCTTACCTATTTGTCAAAGAGTTTAATGTCACGTAGCGATTTCAACAATGTTGCTTACCAGTTCATTGTCTCTGTGTTGTTGTTTTTAAAAAAATTGTATAATCCAAATAAATCAGTATGAGTACCGTATTTTCTTGAGTATAGTGCGCACTTTTTTTCGAAAAAATACAGCTGTGTAGAAGGGGGTGCGCATTATACACGAATTATGAGTTTGGATGTTTTTTTCCCCCATTGAAAGACATTACCGTGAGCACGAAACACCGGGAATACCATGTCAACAAATCCATACTGAAGTACGCAAAATAATTATGTAATTGCACTGTCTGGCTATAAAAGTGTTCTTTGTATATCTGGACTTATGTTTGTAACTTATTTCATTGATTTTATTCAAAATTCGTTATAATATTGTTTTTATTAATTTCGGCGAAATCGTGTGTGAAGCGATCGGAAGATCGCACAACTCACCGTTATTAACAGCAACCACGGTCAGAATACCGCTATTGACGCCTTGAAACAAACTTTAGTGAATAAACATTGAGGAACGCGTGAAATGGCGATTTCACGTTCTGTCTATTGTTGCGTGATATATATAGAATACTAAACGAGCTCCCGTGTAATACCAATTTTATGAAACGAGTGAATAGTTCTGGTATCTGACGAGCGAAAGCGAGTCAGATACCACAACTATTCACGAGTTTCATAAAATTGGTTTAACACGAGAGCGAGTTTAGTATTTTATTTATTACTTGTCATTTATAATGTTTTTAGAATTAAACTGTTGAGTGTGAATAGGCTGACACCTACACGATCCATTGCATAATCCAATTGAGTTTAACAGAATAATACTTCAAACACGTCAAAAGTTGAAACGTATGAATTTAATATCATACAATGGTCCACCTTTAGAATTCAGGCGTTCGTCCCACAAAATTACCGTAGTGCTAAGGCTATCACAACTCACATAATTTAACTTAGACTAACGACTGTCGTTGCGCTAGAGTACGATCGCCTTGTGGAACGGGGCCTTCCACCTCAAAGTTTACAATCACGTCACAATACCCGATGACGTAATTTGTTGAATTTTGTTGCAAGATCCATCGGCGAAACAATGCCATGTGACGTCAGCCTAGCAACAAGGTTGCTGGGGTCATCGAGTGTGCATAAGCTCCTCCCAGTGATCTATCATCTCTACACACAATGTCGTTGAATAAGCCAACGGATGTTGAGAGCTTTCAATATTTGTTCGAGAAACGTGTTCCTAGAGTACATAAGCACGCGTTGTGGTATTACACAATGTGTAATAAAGCTGTATGTTTATTAAACGGGTGATCTCTTCACGGGCAAGTAATAAAGTTGTTTATTACATACTTCAGTGTGAAAGACTGAGTTTTCCTAATTTGAGAAAAGTGATATTTTTACTGCAGTGAGCATAACACTTGATATTTCATTGCAGCACAAATGACACTTGATATTTCAATGCCGTGACTATAACACTTAGACGGAACTATTGTCATTCAAGAGTTACCTCCCTTCATAGTAAATGGCTTGTTCTTGACGTGAAACACCAGCATGATAGAAATAACGTCACAGCATAACATTCGTGACGTTACACAGCGGCGTCATTGAAATGAGAAGATCGTCGAAATGAGAGCATGATAACAGTGAGACAGATATTGTTAAAACCATTCTAGCCTCAATAAAACATTATATAACACTGATTAACACAATTAGATCTGTTATCTAACCTGCAGCTACAAAGATCTTGAAAAGAAATGGATTGTATGTTGTTTAACGCCAAACTCAGAAATACTTCGGCTGAATGACGGCTGTCTGTAAATATGGACATCAACCAAGTCAGCGAGCCTGACAACCCGATCCCGTTAGTTGCCTCTTGCGACAAGCATTGTCGCCCCATACGTCAAGCATGGGTTGCTGAAGACCTATTCTACCCCGCATCTTCACGGGTCAAGTAAAATGGTGAGTGTGGTATTATTCCAGTTGTTATTCCGGTGTCGCAGATTTAATGAGGGAGGAAAGGCCGAGGTGACAATCCTAGGAACATGATCAGGGCAAATGAGGTGATGATCACATAATCCTGGCACGCTTAAGGGAGGGAACCGTGCACATCGAATTGCGGCACCTCAGTCGACTTTGTCCCACTTTTAGAAAGGGAATAGTGGATTTACCGACCAGGCGACTTTGCAACTCTTATCGACAGAGACTAGTCGATTCACCGACCAGTCATAGCCTGTGAAAATGGTCGCAATGACATTCATCATTGTCCTATTTTCTTCATTCAAATCAACAATAAATATAAAAATTGTATTATCAACTTTATCAATAATGAAATCTAAATGAAATAAAAATGCTCTCATATTTTATTGATTTTATTTACGACATATTCAAATTTTCACAAAGTTATAAAACAACAAAATAACGGTAAAAACGGAAGGAGAAAAAACATTAATCAGTCTCATGATAACTATTAAAACACGAAGTCGTATTTTGCTTTAAAGTTTCTGATGTATTTTTCACCAATACGAGGGTAGCTAGTAAACCATGTAAAGCAGTAAAAAGAGCAAATATCTTGTTGTATTGTAACGCATTGCATTCTATTCTAAGAAACACATAATTTCTCTTGATTAAACTAATGATTAAAAAGCTGTAATACAAACATTTCTTTTGACGTGTCCAAAATAATCTGACAAAAACATGACAGTCATTATAAAATATTGAAAGGGTCATATGATCTTCTTAATAGAAGTGATTCTTTAAAGCAATATTATAAGACAGCGATTTGTAATTTTCATTTATTTCTGCCGATTAAACATAGTCATATTTTTATTTATAAATTACTATAAGTAAATACAAAACAATCACATATTAGTGCTCGCTACAGCTGCACACAGATCTGAAGACATCTCATTACAGATCACGTCAGAACGCACCCTCCTACCCAGAGTTCCATGCGGCCGGCAACCAGTCAGCATAGTACCTCTGCCACAGGCCAGCGCCATGTGACGATTCGTCACATCTTATAGCATATAGCATATGCTTTTCATCCGTTTCATGTTTGTAAGACTGCACATTTTCATAAATAAATGTCAAAGAATGGTTACGGTATCCTTTAAAATCTACTTGTTTTTGCGTAGTTATCCTTTGTTTTCATTGGATGCTCCACGTGCTGTCATCGAAGCCCTGCGGAGAGCTAGCGATACGGTCACTTTGATGTATAAATATATATTGTCATGCAACTCACTGTCACAGTTGTAGTAGCATATCTATATAATTATGCAAAACAATATGTGAAGCGCCCTCAAATACTTGCATTAGTCCGTGCTATACTGATTTCTGAAAAAGCGCGTTTGTTTACAAACAAGAGAAAAGTCCGGTAACGTGATATGCAAATTAGCCTATGGCAGTGGTGTTATGCTGAGTCATCACTGCGCCGGAGTGTGGTCAGAACGACCTTTCAGCTGTCCCCTCAGAGTGTCGCTTACGAGATGAAAGTCTAAACGTGTTTCCTAATCATCCCTTAGATTAGCCCATGGGGATGTCATACAAATTCGTTCATCCATTATACATTCTTTTCTTTCAAATTTTGAATCGAAAACTTTGTCAAACTATTTTTCGAAGCGTATTCTGGAATGGAAGTCGCCAGTGTGAAACTAGTGCCTTAAAGCTCGAGAAAGCTGCTTTCTGATTGGCTGATGTAGACTTCCTGTTAGTCATTTCATTGGTCGGTCAAAGTTCCCGAGACGTCGTCCTGAAGGGACCTGTCATTGGATGCCCTCAGATCTAGCGGTATGAGATTGCTAAAAAAGTAGAATAGTCCATCCGGAAGTCCATATCAAGTTTCCTTCAATCACTGGAGTTCATTACACAAGAACAGCCATCGCCACTGCAAGGACTGTCACAGTCGACCCCGCTGTGCCGACACCTACATTGGGATAGTTGTAATCATCTTTCGTTATAACACACATGTCCATGCGTCTCAGGAACGACAACCCATCCTTGTTACGCTGCATCATGTCAGTCACATAGTGCTTGATGTCGCCTTCTTTCATACAGGGATGAGCCTTAGCCCGCATCACGGCGTGTTTACAATCATCGTGGCAGGTACCTCCCAAGAAACAGTTCTCATTGACCTCATCAATCACTTCAGCGGAGGCAGGGTCTGATCCGAACACAAAACCAAATGCATTGCATCCATCCACCACCAACGGCTTCGTCCCGAGGGCGCAGACATCGACTGACTTCCAGCTTGTGCAGTAGGGGTCAGGCATGGCTTCAACCGGGTAGAATATGAGGAACGTGAAACACATCTCATCAGAAGTGGCATCCCCATAGTGGACCCATTTCTTAGAATAGGTGGACTTGTACTCGCACGTCGTTATTAATTCGTCGTTGGGCAAGACGGTGATTGGCGTGTCAAATCTGAAAATAGAAGCAGCAATACTCTTTCCATAACAATACGAAATATCCATTGGGTCTATTGTACGGTTCCAAATATATCATGAGCATGTGTTTATGTGTGCGGTAAGATTATCTCACGAAACAGATTCCATTGGGCGTGAAATGGAAAACGGTGAAAATTGTATAAATGGATCATTAAAAATCAGTGATGACACCAAGCGGTCGCGGAAAAGGGAAGCATGTTCTGCCCTACAGGTTAATTTTGATTAACGTCTCTTGTGTACAAGTACAGTAATTCTTAGTTAAAGAAATATGTTCGGTTTGCACAATTGGGGACAGTTTTAATGCGTCGGCCAAAACATTTCTTTTGAAGTTGACTCAGGATAATTGATAAATGCTATTCATTATTAACTCCGGGGACTTCAGTCCACCAGCGAAAACATCGACTCAATTTCAGCATAATTCGTACACGACGTTGTTATTGATGGAAATATTTCATTAATGATTACATTTTGCGAAGACACATTGGTTGAACTGTGGGGGTTTATTGGACATTTGAGGGATGCGTTTAGTTTCGTTTGTTTTGGTCTACTTGCATTCTAGTGCAAGTCCAACTTACGTATAGAATGTTGGGTCATCGTAACTGAACTCCGGTTCATTCGTGATGTAACGCACCCTCGTTCCGTTCCGGCGCAACTCCAGAAACTGGGCATTTCCTAAAACAGACACTCTGTACATCGGACCATATTTTGTTTGTTTGTTGTTTAACGCTGCACTCAGCACGATTATTAAGTATATTTCACGTTGCATCACAAAAAAACTTATTTCAAATAATAACATCAAACAATATGAAAATAATTGCAGAGAAATATCATTCATCAAATGTTCTACATATGATGAAACCTTATTAAGTAGTCTTCATGGAATCATCGAGATATGTCGAGTACTTCGAGAAAGACGGGTATACCGACTCATCGACTTATTGTTGTAACGTTTCGTTTCTGCTGTATCACAACTGCCTGACCCAAACAAACCAGTGATGGATGGTGTGAGCATCGTCCCACGCCGTTGGGGTACGATCACACACCCAGTCAACAAAGTCGATCTGAATGATATTTTTAAAACAGATTAAGGCATATGATCTAACAACGTCATCTTGCATCCACATGTGTTGATCATTTGGACTTCACTCCCTAACCAAGCTGACACACAGTGACATAACTTAAATGTTGTTCGGAACGAGAGGATCCGGGTTAGAATAGGTCTTTAACAACCTAATCTTGCAGTATGAGGCGACAAGGCTTGTCGTAAGAGGCGACTAACGGGATCGGGTGGTTAGGCTCGATGACTTGGTTGATGCATGTCATCGTATTTCAGTTGAGTGGATCGATGCTCATGATGTCAATCACGGGATTGTCTGTCCAGTCTCGACTATTTACAGACCCCCTTCACAAAGCTTGAACATTACAGAGTTCAGCGTTACACAACAAACACACAAACATGATATGTCTTCTTCATTTTTTAAATATGACTGAAACAACATTAACCTCTCGCATTCATTTATCATTTAAACAAAAATACTATTCGTTGATAAAGTGATGCGAAGCGCCTTATTTCGCCATGTAGAGTTATGTCCCTTTTCGTCCAAGTATCTGCTGTTTAATCCCATGTGCGTTCGCGTTATGATTATTTGTCAGCCCATATCGGTGGCCGTTGATTCACAAAATGATAAACGTCATTTTAGGGTTTCATGTCACAATAAGCTGCCCCCAATATGAGGCGTCAGTGTCTTGACGACTACTGCGCTATTATGAGTGAGTGAGTGAGTTGGGTTTAACGCCGCTTTTAACAGTATTCAAGTTATATCGCGGCGTGTCAGCTTTAATGTGGGAGGAAAGCCCGAAGTGATGCAGGTCTCAGACGTTTACCACTTCGGTGAAACCCACGAGCACGGGCATGGTGCTGACAAACCTTGCAACATAATCGGGGCGAACCGGGATTCGAACCCACAATCATAGGTTTCTGGCGTGCCCAACGGACGCAACTCTGCACAGCGAATCGCGGCGCCTTAGACGACTGGACCACCCATGCCCCGCGCTATTATGATCCGGTTCAGAATTGGTTTTCAACAACCCATTCTGCTCGTCAGGAACGTGGTCGCGTTCGCTGAGTTGGTTGATTCATGTCATCGTGTCCCAGTTGCGAAATTCGATTATCTTGAGGTGAATGAATCACTGGATTGGCTGGTCCAGACTAGATTATATACAGACCGCCGTCATAGAGATTGGATATTGATGAGTGTGACGTTAAACAACAAAGACAACAAGCTGGCGCGCCATAAAATGGTTGAACTATTACCAAAACGGCACTGAACCAAACTCAAGCATCAAAAATGATTGTTACCAAGGTAATGCATGTGATTGATTGCGCCGGTGACTTGGATGGGGCCATTCAGTGCTGCCCCGGTACAGTCCGAGGAACATTTAGAGGTGAAGGTCGTTCTTTCTTTCCCCGGAGGTATCTCAAGGAAGTTCTGGCCTAGGGAGATGATCCCGCCATTGTTAGGTCTCCGGTTTTGTGTGTAGTAAATAGTCATTCCAGAGGAGTCATGCCAGGAGTCCACAAGTTGAGGGTTGTTCCAGTGAAACTAAAACCATTTGAGTGTTGAGTATCATTTATTTTTAAAATGTAACTATGTATTAGATTTGAAATGTGATTTAATGCAAACGTTTTACATATTCACTTAAGATCTATCCCCTACGATGCTCCCTCCATGTCAATGCTAAAGAGGAAAGATGTTTAAGATGGACGTTTGCACAGAGTTGGTAGAAGGCGAAGAATTGAAAACTGTAAGATCTGTGAAGATCCGGGTTAGAATAGGTCTTCAGCAACCCATGCTTAAACAACAAACAATCGATCTCAAAAACATCAGAAAATGGTAACAACATTGAGTGAGTGAGTTGGGTTTAACGCCGCTTTTAACAGTATTCCAGTTATATCACGGCGTGTCAGCTTAATGTGGGAGCAAAAGCCCGAGTGATGCAGGTCTCAGACGTTTACCACTTCGGTGAAACCCATGAGCACGGGTATGGTGCTGACAGACCTAGAAACATAATCGGGGCGAACCGGGATTCGAATCCACAATCATAGGTTTCTGGCCTGCCCAAGGGACGCAACTCTGCACAGCGAATCGCGGCGCCTCAGACGACTGGGCCACCGATAAAAATAGAGGCATTGTTACATGTGACAAAAAAAGGTTAGACTCGATCCCTTTAGAAACGTTTAGCACTAGTAGAGGTGCGCGGTTTTGGCAGTGACTGAGGCAGATTGATATCACTCTATCCAGTCTATGACGAGTCTAGTCTGTCTTATGTAGAAGTTGTATTTGAAGATGAACTGGAGCGTTATTTAAAGCATGTGAGTATAACCTATGTTTTGTGTTTACTCCTGGTGAGTGCAAGGGCCGGTACATGAATGCTGAGGGCGATAGTTTTGGAGCAGGATTCAATAGACCAATCACTCCTTGACTGAGATGACCCCAAGTCATGGCTTACCTTGCCTATGACGTCACGGAACAACAATAACATGGCTCAGTTAACCCCATAACGCAGTTAGGACATAACTATTATTATCCCCCGCCATGAACTGGTAGGGGGATATAAGAAAGGGCGCTGTCCATCCATTCGTCCGTGCCTCACGTTTCGTTTCCGGATCGGAGCATCACTCGACAACAGTTAAAAATTTTATATGAAACTTTGCATATGAATCAAAGACATGCTGAACTGGTGCCATTTGCCGTTTTCTTGGGGAAAAAACCCTGCTGAACTGGTGCCGTTTGCCGTTTCCTTGGCAACCAAATACAGATTGCTTTCATTACCAGAGAGTAACTTAACCCCAGATCGGTCGCAGAGTTAATTTATGGATTACATGACAATAACTGTTTTTAATATAATATCCTTGAAACTTTATACCACTACTAACAGAGTGCTAAAATTGTCATGATATGTTAGTTTTTCTACAAAAAGATTTTCGCAGGGTTGTCTAGAAACCGTTATCATTATTACCTGATTGAGATGTATAACACTTGACAATGGAATGGTGAATGGTGATAAAATAAATGCTACAAAGTGGCACCCGAACCGGCCTTTTTCCTCACCGTCATTTTAGTGCTTGTAATTAGGCCATTCATCAAAAGATCCCGTGAACTTGTCAAGGCTGAGTTAGAAAATGGATGCCGTTTTTTTCTCTGAAGTTACCCTTCCTTTTTCTGTGTACATTCACAAGAAAATGAATAGTTCTAATTTGCCCCATAGCGGGGATAATGAATACGCTGTTTTCTTGTTTCATATTATTTTTGTAAAGTTCTATGAACAAATATCATTTTATGCATTTGACCTTTGATTCTTATTCATCCATGCAACTATCTGAACAGGTGTACCACTACTGATTATAAGCAAAATTTGATTTTCATTGGCTTAATATCAGTACACATTTACGAACTAAATGTTGCATCGTTTGAACGGAAACCACTCCTGTTTGTTGTGATCAAAGGGAATTACTCCTGTTCGTGTTATGAAAACAGGATATGAAAATCGCTTTCATACGGAAGCCTTTTAGGGCCATTTTAAAAAAAAAAAATTATGATAGTATCTTGAAATTTCGAGATACTAAGTTGAAATTTCAAGATACAGAAGTTGAAATTTCAAGATACTAAGTTGAAATTTCAAGATACTATACTTCTATATCAAGAAGTTGAAATTTCAAGATACAGAAGTTGAAATTTCAAGAAACTAAGTTGAAATTTCAAGGCACTATCTTGAAATTTCAAGATACTATACTTCTATATCAAGAAGATGCAATTTCAAGATACAGAAGTTGAAATTTCAAGATACTATGTTGAAATAACAAGATACTATCTTGAAATTTCAAGAGAGTATCGTAACATTTCAACTTAGTTTCTTGAAATTTCAAGATAGTATCGAAAGAAAATTTAAAAAAACAAATGTCCCTAAAAGGCTTCCGTACTTAAGTTCCATTGGCTATATTTAAGAGTTACATCATGTTGTAATAATTAAACGTAGACAACATCGCCTCTGACAGACAAACCTGAAGTAAATCACCACACGCCGATTGCGTGATGGAGTATTTTAAAAAAGTGTTGAAAGCGGTGTATTGTGTTGATTTGCGTCTGGAACAGTTCTTATTATTTGGGGAAGGGTTGGGATAGAGATTAGACCTCATTTAAGAACAGAATTACACCCGATTGGAAAACGCGACAAATAAATAAATGCCTTTTAACTTTTAAATCTTTAAAGAATTATATAAATTATCAATTGTTGTGGCCTATAGAAATAAAGTTACCTCCAGGGCAAATCTCTTATATTTGCTCTTCCCAAACAAGATGCCCATTTGTTCATGGAAGCAGTTCCCCGCACCACCCAGCGTCCAACCTCCAATCATGAGGTTGCACTTGTAACCAGCTCCCATGTCGCACTCATAAGGTGCTGTTGGCGCGGCCGCTGAAACAAGCCGAAACACACATTGTTATTTAGCCATGGACAAAATACTGTACCTAGCTTGGATTGTAGGCTCCCCAAGGAGCTGAGAATGAAAATTGAGTGCATACTGATCCCTTAATAATGTAGGGCTATGAGCATCCACTTGGTGGCAGCAGTGAATAGGCACCTCCAGCTTGGTTTGTATACTGCCCAGAGAGTTGGTCCGTTCACCGGGGTAACATCACAGTGGCACCATGAACACTTTCTTGATGAATGACAAATAAGTGCGTTCCCCAGATGAACGGGTCCGCATCTCTCTCTCTCTCTCTCTCTCTCTCTCTCTCTCTCTCTCTCTCTCTCTCTCTCTCTCTCTCTCTCTCTCTCTCTCTCTCTCGCATTGCATATATTTAAAACATGATTCGGTTTACAAGTTGCATAGCTTTTGATCATCATTTAATCATGCAAATAAAGGATTTCAACTTACTGTCTGATTCCTCGCAGCCGTAGATGACGATGTGGTGCATGACGTTGTCGTTGTCGATCTCAGGTTTGTAGGCTATCATGTGGTAGTCCTGATCGCTGGGTATGTCAAACACCATGCACATATATGTCGTCTCCTTGGCCGGTACGGCTACTCGGGGGAACCGCAGTGTTATGTTCTGTGTGTCTGTGACGATAAGATTACAGTCTTATGTTCTGCGTGTCTGTGCCGATAACAATACAGCGTTATGTTCTGTGTGTCAGTGACGATAACAATACAGTATTATGTTCTGTGTGTCTGTGACGATTACAATACAGTGTTATGTTCTATGTGTCTGTGACGATAACAATACAGTGTTATGATCTGCGTGTCTGTGACGATATTAATACAGTGTTATGTTCTGCGTGTCTGTGACGATAAAATTACAGTGTTATGTTCTGCGTGTCTGTGACGATATGAATACAGTGTTATGTTCTGCGTGTCTGTGACGATAAAATTACAGTGTTATGTTCTGCGTGTCTGTGACGATATTAATACAGCGTTATGTTCTGTGTGTCTGTGACGATAAAAATACAGTGTTATGTTCTGTGTGTCTGTGACGATAACAATACAGTGTTATGTTCTGCGTGTCTGTGACGATAACAATACAGTATTATGTTCTGCGTGTCTGTGACGATAACTATACAGTGTTATGTTCTGTGTGTCTGTGACGATAACAATACAGTGTTATGTTCTGCTGGTCTGTAACGATAACAATACAGTATTATGTTCTGCGTGTCTGTGACGATAACTATACAGTGTTATGTTCTGTGTGTCTGTGACGATAACAATACAGTGTTATGATCTGCGTGTCTGTGACGATAACAATACAGTGTTATGTTCTGCTGGTCTGAGACGATAACAATACAGTGTTATGTTCTGTGTGTCTGTGACGATAACAATACAGTGTTATGATCAGCGTGTCTGTGACGATAACAATACAGTGTTTATGTTCTGTGTGTCTGTGACGATAAAATAACAGTGTTATGTTCTGCGTGTCTGTGACGATAACAATACAGTGTTATGTTCTGCGTGTCTGTGACGATAACAATACAGTGTTATGTTCTGCTGGTCTGTAACGATAACAATACAGTATTATGTTCTGCGTGTCTGTGACGATAACTATACAGTGTTATGTTCTGCGTGTCTGTGACGATAACAATACAGTGTTATGATCAGCGTGTCTGTGACGATAACAATACAGTGTTATGTTCTGCTGGTCTGTGACGATAACAATACAGTGTTATGTTCTGTGTGTCTGTGACGATAACAGTACAGTGTTATGATCAGCGTGTCTGTGACGATAACAATACAGTGTTTATGTTCTGTGTGTCTGTGACGATAAATTTACAGTGTTATGTTCTTCGTGTCTGTGACGATATTAATACAGTGTTATGTTCTGTGTGTCTGTGACGATAACAATACAGTGTTATGTTCTGCGTGTCTGTGACGATAACAATACAGTGTTATATTCTGCGTGTCTGTGACGATAACAATAGTCTTATGCTCTGTGTGTCTGTGACGATAACAATACAGTGTTATGTTCTGCGTGTCTGTGACGATAACAATACAGTGTTATGTTCTGCGTGTCTGTGACGATAACAATAGTCTTATGTTCTGTGTGTCTGTGACGATAACAATACAGTGTTATGTTCTCTGTGTCTGCGACGATAACAATACAGTGTTATGTTCTGTGTGTCTGTGACGATTAGAATACAGTGTTATGTTCTGCGTGTCTGTGACGATAAAATTACGGTCTTATGGTCTGCGTGTCTGTGATGATATAAATACATTGTTATGTTCTGCGTGTCTTTGGTGACAGAAATACAATGTTATGTTCTGCGTGTCTGTGGTGATATAAATTCATTGTTATGTTCTGCGTGTCTGTTGTAACAAAAAAACAGTGTTATGTTCTGCTTGTCTGTGACGATAAAAATACAGTGTTATGTTCTGTGTGTCTGTGTTGACATTATTGTTTGTTGTTTTACGCCAAACTCAGCAATATTCCAGTTATATGACGGCGGTCTGTAAATAATCGAGTCTAGACAAGACAATCCAGTGATTGACATCATGAGCATAGATCCACCCAATTTGGATCGATGACATGCATCAACCAAGTCAGCGAGCCTGACCACCCGATCCCGTTAGTCGCCTTTTACGACAAGCATAGTCGCCTTTTACGGCAAGCATGGGTTGCTTAAGACCTATTCTAACCCGGATCTTCACGGGTCGAACACCAGTACAAGACCTTGGTCTGTAAATCAACGTTAATGGATATCTCCAATTTTCCAATACCACAGTAAGGAATATTCCAGCTATATGAGAACGGTCTTCAAAAAGTCGTGTCTGGACGCAGACAAACCAGTGACTAATATTATGAGCAACGCTGCACGCGAGAGAGAGACATAGATTTTGTTGGATTTGTAAAACTGATTGTATTGAAGATGAATATCACTTTCTATGTGTATGTCCAGTGTATAAGACCTTATATCAAAATAACTTTTTCTACCACAACCCAAATTTTATAAATTAATGACTTGTGATTGCACAGAAACTATGAGAAATGTATCTATGTTCATGTATCATGCTATGACACTTGTTTGCTGGCACGGGTGGCCCAGTCGTCTAAAGCGCCGTGATTCGCTTTGCAGAGTTGCGTCCCTTTGGCACGCCAGAAACCTATGATTGTGGGTTCGAATCCCGGTTCGCCCCGATTATGTTTCTAGGATTGTCAGCACCATACCCGTGCTCGTGGGTTTCACCGAAGTGGTAAACGTCTGAGACCTGCATCACTTCGGTCTTTCCTCCCTACGCCGCAGTAAAACTGGAATACTGTTAAAAGCGGCGTTAAACCTAATTCACTCACTCACTTAGAAAATGTATGAATTTGTAACACGCCCCAGACATTATACTCTTGGCCTGTGGCCTCATCAGTACCATGGTTTGAGAATGATTTACATGGAATTCCTACATGGCCACAAGTCACGAGTCAGTACCTGGGTTTTGTATTGCTGGGCAGTCGAGCATCGGGGTGGACTGGCAATCCACCCAGTCATTCTTCCCCGCACACTGTGTGGTGTTGTATGGGGTACATACACCTGAAACATATTTAATTACTTTTCAACTTCTTTTGAAATGATCCAAGGGAAGCAACGTTTGCATGTTAAACAGTTCTATATCCACATCACTGTGTATTCACCCATTACTTATGACAAATAACAGCTCACACAAGATAAACGTCGAAATTGTATACGTGGTCCTAAATAATGGATTAAGGATGACTTAGACAATAGTTACCAGGATGTGTTATGCCATCAAAATTGGTTGGAATGGAACCTTTGGTCCATGTACATCCGGGGTCTCCGAGTTCTTGCCCGTTGGTCATTCCGTCCCCGTCCGAGTCGGCGCTACAGAGCGCTTGTGTCCACTTTTAAGTAAACAGAACGGTAAAACCCTTAAAGGTAGTCATCGAGAGTTCTTTCTAAGCGCTGCTTAATGCCAATTTACACTTACATTATTGTTTTCTTCTCATAACTCTTTTATGTTAGGTCTTCCAGCTTTTTGGTATCGTTTGATGGCGTACTTTACGTAGGAAGGGCATCGGTCTCATTTAACACTTACAATTAAAAAAAACCAAACACTCTTTAATAAGCAGTCTCGCACCTATCATAAATCTGATGGGAAAATGTAGAATTCTATCAGATCATGAGATTAAAAAGTGTCTGATAAGCCCCTTGTTCCTGATCAATAAGCTGTGGCAGCTGTTGCCTTCAAGTCTTAAAGGGACGGTGCTGTAGCTTAGTAGTTAAAACGTTCGCTCGTTACGCCCAAGACCCGGGTTCGAATCCCGACAAGGGTACAATATGTGAAGCCCATTTCTGGTGTCTCCCGCCGTGATATTGCTGGAATATTGCTAAAAGAGGCTTAAAACCATGCTCACCCACTCACTCAAGTCATAAAGGGTAAGCATTAATAATATCAGTTTTAACATTTCTATTGCTGACTAATTAAATGTTCGTGATAAGAAAGCAATAACTTGCTTATACACACAATCCATTGAACAAGGTGTATACTAAAGTATGTCGTTAAGTGAGTGAGTTAATATTTAATATCACACTGGCCAAAATACAACAGAGCGACTGAAGTTTAAGGGACACTGGTATGTCGCTGAAAAATCAAGTATCAATCAGGGCGATTCTTGGATTCGAACCGACGAACAGCGGATCCTGATTCGACTAAGGGACGTAGCTCAAGACAGCGTCATCCATGCTGATAACCACAGACATTTACCTGATGTCCGTTGGCAGCAAAATCCAAACCAAACTGATTTCTTGATCCACCCCCTTCTTCATTACCATGCCCTACCCCTTTCCAAAAGTAGTTAGGCTTGCATGGATGGGGGACTCGCTCGCCATTGGGTAACTCTGTTCTGTACGACCCAAAGCCAGTCACGTGACACGCGCCGCACAGCAGGGTAAGGGCGATAATGCCTTGTATCCTGAAAAACGGAGGAATTTTTTTTTTTCATCAACTTTCAACTTCAAAAACATAAATAAGCATCTTCTTCGTACATTTAATATGTATGGAATACTTTAAGGGATATTCTCGCGTTAATGTGCAATAAGCTCGAGAACGTAATATTTTGGCGATCTCGCAATCTCACACACTTGATCTTTCTGCATATTTACATATAATTTGTTTGCAAAGGTCGCGTTTGCGAGAAGTCCCTACATTATTAAAATATTATGAGAGATTCATTCACGTAAGTTTTCCCCGTGCAAGCACACTTATTTTGGGGGTATGCAGATACATTTTATTTACAATAGGATTTCGGGTCAGACTAAGTTCCAAATAGGTCGTGGCTGAGCCGATCTAACGAGGTGAGGTGAGGTGAAATGTGGTTTAACGTCGCGTCCAAGATTATTGCACTTATATAGCGACGTGCATGCACGTATATGTGTGTGCTTGGCTGCTTGTACTAGTACGGACTGATGCCGATTTATAGTGCTAGCTCACTGAGATACCATGCCGCAGTTTAACATGAATACCCCACTCAGACACAGTATACTGACTCCGAGCCGACAAGTCCTTGCTTTAGCCCCTTAATGCCGAGCGCCAGACAGGGTAACAACAAGTACAATCTTTTAACGTCTTTTTGTATGACGCGGCCGGGGATCGAACCCCGGACCTGCCGCTCTAAGGGCGGACGCTCTACCACAAGACTACGGAGGCCATGATCTAACTAGGGATCTCCTGGCATGGTAACGTGGAGTGGTCACGCTTCCAACGTTGAATGGTCACGCTTCAAACGGCCATGCTCATACACTACGTTCGTCCTCATATATTAATCGTGACCTGACCGTATGGATAATTAGGCTTTGTGTCAGCTTAATGTGGGAGGAAAGCCCGAAGTGACTCATCTCAATGACATTTTACCACAGACAAGGTGCTGCCACGCCAAACATCGTTACTGGAATGGATTGGGGATGCGAACCAACATCTTGGATGAGACACGGCTGTTGTATAATGTAAAAAGGTGAGGTGAAATGAGTGAGTGAGTGAATATGGTTTTACGCCGCTGTTAGCAATATTCCAGCGATATCACGGCGGGGGACACCAGAAATGGGCGGGACACAAGAAATGGGTTTCACACATTGTACTCATGTCATGTCTTCGGCGTGACGAGCGAACGCTTTAACCACTAGGCTACCCGACCGCCACTGAGGTGAAATGAAGTTTAATATGGAGTTAAAGATTATTCACTTACTAGTAAACAGTAACGATATAAGATGAATCAAGATTGATGTTCATAGCCTAGTAAAGTAATTTGAGGTTGTTATCATATTTCAATAAGGAATCACTCTCAACGAAGTCGTGAATCGTTTGAAAACAACGGTAAAAGTTGCAGGTGATCCATAGAGTAAAAACATAAACTACTGATCTGAATTTTGTTCAATTTATATTCAGAGGAACTGTTAAGATTATTTAATTTTTATTGTTATAGCGGACGGTTTAAAGGCTTTGATGGGGGACGAGTGCAAGTCTAGATCTGTCTGCTACCCTGACCTATTTAGCCAATGCTCAAGGTATCCCATGGTTGTGACACATTCCACACACCTACAACGCTTCCAGTGTCAATATACTCAACTACCCTAGTATGAGGGAGGCTGTGTATTTACATGACACAATTACAGGTATCACATGAGCGTATAAGTGGGTGTGAATTAGTTTGTTTGAACGCAGATTTGGACAGTTACAGTATTCCAGCTACGTTACATAGTCGAACCTCGTTGTGTCGAACTTGGATGTGTCATATTACCGGTTGTCTCGAACTCATTTGAGAGGCCAAGTGCCCAAATTAAGCATACAATTCTCCTGATGTCTCGAACCCAGGATAACTCGAGCTTCTATCCAGGTCCCAAAGAATTCGACACAGCTGTATTTTTGACATTCCTGTTAACCCAATGGTGCTACGAATGACTGGTTTGTTATACAGATAAAATATTTATCTTTCTGTAAAAGCAAAATAATCCATTCAGTCATAATTATCACAAAACAGGTTATATATGTTAATACAAATGAATCTATCACAACAATCACATCTGCATTTGAAAACCGTGAAGACCTGGGTTGGAAATGGTCTTAGCAACCCATGCTTGATGTAAGAGGCGACTAACGGGATTTGGTTTAATGACTAGGTTGATTCATGTCATTGTATCCCAATTGCGTAGATCGATGCTCAAAATGGCAATCACTGGATTGTCTGTTCCAGACTCGATTACTTACAGACCGTCATCATATAGCTGGACTATTTGTTGAGTGCGGCGTAAAACAACAAACGAACAAAACAAACATCTGCCTTCAAAAGTGCCTATTATCCATGCTGAACAAAGCCATAACAATATTTAATAAATGAGTAAGGAGAGTTTTCACATGTACAAAGATCACTTTCCTGATACCAATCAAACAATATGGTTCCGCACGTCACAATTGCGATATAACTAGCAAACTTTCCTATCCACAAAGCCCCGAAGGGTCAAATTGGCAATGCCGAAGACAACATCCAAACAGTATGTCAAAAGTATATACAGTAAACCAACCACATAGTCCTACGTAGAATTTATTTTGGTATTGAAAACAAAATGTGATTAATAATAAATGTAGCCATGCATATCCGCTTATTCTTATGTTCTTGGTTCATTGTATTCATTAAGTTTCAATAAACGGTGTGTCTGTTTCTTAAAATGATGTAACTTGATGACAGTTCTCTTTGGCATTTTACTTCAAATCATTTTTATATAACAGGAACCATACTGAACCAAATTTTGATAATGTAGATTACCAGTGTAAATAATCTTTCTCAGCAATGCACGTTGTGAGTTAAGTACAAAACATAAAAACATAAAATATAAATATAATCGGTTTGGTTCATGTAATTTGACCAGATATGCTTAGAGGTTGAAATTTGGAAATTTTGATAGCTGATATCTCAAAATGATGCCGTTGTGGTTTGATTCTGTATGTCATCATGGTATCCATTTATCTGCATGCTGTGAAACCACTTCCTTGCAAGTATTTCTACAGCGACTAACTTATGCCTGATATTCAATCTAGTGCAGTGAAATCTCATTAACTCGAACCCCAATAGGGGACACGGGTGGCCCAGTCGTCTAAAGCGCCGCGTTTCGCTGTGCAGAGTTGCGTCCCTTGGACACGCCAGAACCCTATGATTGTGGGTTCGAATCCCGGTTCGCCCCGATTATGTTTCTAGGTTTGTCCGCACCATACCCGTGCTCGTGGGTTTCACCAAAGTGGTAAACGTCTGAGACCTGCGCCACTTCGGGCTTTCCTCCCACTTTAAGCTGACACGCCGTGATATAACTGGAATACTGTTAAAAGCGGCGTTAAACCCAACTCACTCAGGAACTCCAATATGTCGATATATCATTTAAGGCGGCATAACTCATCTAAAACTGCTTACACAAAACATATGGTTTGGGTAAGATCAAACGATATCTCCCACAAAATATCGCTACAAAGTAATTGCGTCACAATGCTTTGGAGATGCTTTAGTCTCCCTGCAGTGGCTTTGGAGACCATTGTGACGTCAGCGTTACATGAAGTCGTGACGTCATCGTTATGGCTACATCCCTCATGTTTTAGTCTCCTTATTGCAGGATAAACAAACTCCCACTCGTTTATTTCTTAAATAGAAATCAGACTGCTCAAACGCACCAAGTCTTGTTGACCCACCGGCTCATCTTTCCCGCTCAGAACTCCCCTCGACCCCGTCCCACGTGACAGGACTTGTTTACCCACAGGGTGGAGACACCCATGTGACGGTGTGCACAATAGTAAACACAATAAACATTAACGTCCACGTGTACACTTACACATACATTATTGCGTAAATGTTTAATCTACGACGCCATAAAGTACCGGGTAACAACCAAAACGAATGAGTTTGGTTTTACGCTCCTTTGATCAGTATTTCAGTTATATTAGAGCGTGTCGGCTTGGGAGGAAGGCCAGAAGTGATGTTGGCGTTAGACATTAACTAGTTTGGTCAAATCCACGTGGTGCACGTGGTTTGTAGAAGTAAAGCTACGTTGTGCAAAGATGCAGAAATAATTGCAGAACATATTAAAATCGAGAAAAAAATAAAAAATTGTAAAATACATCTGATGTATTAAAGGGAAAATAAATGATAAATTCTAATTAATTATACAAATAAATAAAATATTTATTCTATAAAATGAGTTCTCTTCAAAATTTGTATCTGTTAAGATAGCGAGATAATTTATTCAGATTAATTATATACGTATAGAATTGTTTTCTCTTACTTACAACGTGAAGATACCATTTCTTGGAGATCGTTATGAAGCCAATTTCTGGTGTCCCCCGCCGTAATCTTTGGAATATTGCTAAAAGCTGCGTAAAACCATACTCACTCACTCCCTCACTCACTCACGCTTGGGGGTCGTCGTTACTTCGTTAACGTCCAATAGGTTTACTAAATGTGTAATATCCATTTCCAAGATGACCTTTCCTACCTGATATCGCCAGTTAAACAAAGACGGTGTTCCTTAAAGAATCGTTATATACACGAATATTATACGACCAGGTAAATAATGCTAAAACAGCAGATTTAAAAAATTAAGACTTCTGGTACCGTTGAATGGAGATGTATAAGAAAGCATTAGAAGTATTTTATTTCGATCAAGGAAAAAATATTCCTCTCCAGAAACGGTGATCATGCTTCCAGAAATTCGGGACATATTTCCAACTTTAACATAAGGATGAAGTTGTCGATAAGGATATCATTGTCACCATACCTCTGCGGCGCTCCTTCAATCTCAATTAAGGCCAATAAATCAATAAAATATTGATGCATTTAGTTAAGCAGAGAAGAATGTCCTATTCCTCCACCCGTATATCACTTTCAAATATAGCGCTACAGAAAAACGGAACTTTTTTAATGTTTTATTCATCTCAGTTTTATCCAACACACATGAGTGATATGGTGTTCACATTTAAGAGGATGTTGTGTAGCATGCCATAGTACGGAGGTACGCTGTAATTCATATCTAATACTTGGTTACTATGACTTCCCAATTCATATCTCCAACTTTGCAAAACTGCAATATCCGTTTGTGTCTTAACTCATATTGTCATCTCATTACAAACTACCTTCACATGTTAACAGGTCACAAAGAAATGGGTTTCGCAGGTTCATTCTCACAAAAACAATATTTTTTATATATTATTTCCATCTGTTGTAGTTCCTTTTTGGTATATATTATTGGGTGAATAAATCTATATTAATTTCAAGGCCTATCAACTTGGTATCTTCTGTGCATATTCCCTAATTCGAAAATTGATATACTGTCTTATTCGCCGGTACTGTGATATTTGTCAAACGTTCCGATGTATTGCAAACTGGGGGGGGGGGGTGGTCAGATATCATGAGTATATCATAACATATTCCGCAACCTTTTGATGGTGTAATCAACATTTGCTGCGTCTTATTGTTTCCCATATTCTGGATCACATTATTCAAACGGGAAATAAACATGACTGCAAATATGAGAAAAGAAAATGGATTCAACTGAAAGCGTTTGGCAACAATTGGCGACACATTCTGTATGATGCTAATTTTGCATCGTTATATTCAATCTCCAAAACAGATGTGCAAAGTTCAAAATATTCACCCAAAAAACTTTTTGATTTTGAAAACAATTTCTAGAATGAAGTATAAATCACATCAGTCGTAAAAAAACAACAACAAAAAACAACATACAAACATTTATACACCTCCCGATAATAAACGTTCGGTTCAAACCCACGATCAGCAGATCCTTGCACAGCTAAGCGAGGCAACTCTGAACGTTCAACTACGGTGCCCCAGACTAATGTGTCATCCGTGCACCCATTTGGCTTGGAAATTTAAAATAAAGTCAAAAGTGTATGGAACTCAACGGCCGAAGACATTACGTTGGGTTCCTCAATGATTGTTGTTGTGTAGTGAATTTAAAAATACAAACTCGCCGCCGAACCCTTCGTCAAACACATCTGAGTCATTATCAGTTGATTTTAAGTGGTACATCATACAAGGACAACAAATGCAAGATTTCTTACAGTTTTAGAGTCTTCATCCATTCTTACATTTTGCAAATAATATTGCAAAACGGTCAATAAAAGCCTTTGCTATTAGACAGTATCTCCCTGACTTACATCTGGAATGGTGATTCAGAATTAAAATAAATAAAAAATTAGAAAATTCCTGGGTTTGAAGTCTTACCTGTGTACTAAAGATGACAACTGTACCGACTAACAGTTTAAATAACATTATTTGAATTAATTCATTAAAACATTTCGTATTAATACAACATTGCATTGCCAGCACACAGTCACTCACCGTCTCATCGCGCCAGTTGCTGTCAAAACACCTCCCTGGCACACATGATCCCGTTGTTTAAATACAAATTGGGAGTCATGTGAGGGTGAACACTTATATTTATAGCTGCATAATACGTTTCACGTGAGTTCTCAATGGTTCAATAGGATCCACTTCTATATCTGTGGCATGCGTTTATATGCCAATTACCAAGAAGAGAGCAGGCAATATTATCGTTCTGGGGACGAACATCAAACCCTCTGGTTAAAAAGATATGGCAAGACAAAAGCAGCTAGCTCGGAAAAAAACCTCACTAAAGCCATCTGGGATATTAGGATGTGAACTCTCCCTGGACTCCCAAAGTTGACACTGCTTTAACATCAGATGTCACTAAAAACGAAAACCCAATCCTACTACGATCAGTAGCTATCACTAAAATTCAAACTACCTGGGACAGCTGGGCCCATATATACGCTGATCCACTGATCAACAACAGTGCTGGTTACGGGAACCATATCCACAGCTCCAAACCCCAAGCACATTCAGTATGCCTGCCTGATGGTCAGTCAGTATTCACGGCTGAATTGGAGGCAATTCGTCATGCACTCAAACTCATACCGGAACTTCCGGAAGCAAAGGCAGTCATCCTATGAAGTGCACTTCAGCAATCAGCGGCAGAAACTCAAACTCCAGGCCAAACACAGTCAACAATATTCTATACGAATCTACAAAATTATCGGACCAAGGGCAACAGGTGGAGCTGTGTTGGATCCCCTCTCACATAGATATTCATGGAAATGAAAAAGCAGACTCACTGGCGAAGCAAGCTCTAGACAAAGCGGAGATACAGCCTATTCCTTTCAGTAAACTAGGGATAAACAGCAAAATCAAAGCCTCCATAGCCCAAAGATGGCAAGCCCAATGGGACGCAAGTGACATCGGCAGATGGCTAAACAAAATTCAACCCAAGGTTCAACAAAAGCCAAACTCATACTCAAGTGAAAGGAAAATTGAAATGGCTATCTCACGCCTCAGACTCGGTCACAAAAAGCACTATGACAAGGTTTGTTCATCTTGCAATCAGGCTGAATCCATTGCTCATGTGTTACTAGAATGTCAAGACCGCGCCCCAGCCAAGGCTTGGTTAAAACAAGAAGTGCAGTTAGATCCGTTATCTGTCATAGATCTCCTAAAGCCAAAAGATGCAATAGCGAAGGCCAAACTAACTCTATTTCTGAGAGATGGACAGCTACTCGAACGTATATAAACAGAGCAGCCAAGGATAAAAATGAAATTATATCAATATACGAAAATTGAAATCATATCAATACAAAAACAGAAATTATGTGAATACCAAACTCACAATAGATATGTGTACCCTACTCACACACATGAGTCCCAAAGAGGGACAGGTTAGCCGAAATTGCTTAGCAGAAGGCGACCTCTTAAACACTTACAACAACAACAACAAGCCAATTGTCCCTGGATCCATAGAACGTAGTGTTCTATTTGATTCGCTATGATAATTCAGTTTGATCACTGGACTGAAGTATTAAACTGACTGTATTGTTTTAAGTTTGAGCGCTGGACTGTAGTAATATCGTTACGGTAGTGTTCTAATCGATTCCACATGAGTATTAAGTTTGTCTGGTGGATAAGATGATGAACAAGGAGAGCCTTGAATATCAAGGTTAGGATTCAGCAAACCAAGGGACACGAGTGCCCCAGTCGTCTAAGGCGCCGCGTTTCGCTGTGCAGAGTTACCTCCCTTGGGCACGCCATAAACCTATGATTGTTGGCTCGAATCCCGGTTCGCCACGATTATGTTTCTAGGTTTGTCAGCAATATATCCGTGCTCGTGGGTATCACCGAAGTGGTAAACGTCTGAGACCTGCACCACTTCATGCTTTGCTCCCACATTTAGCTGACACGCCGTGATATAACTGGAATCATGTTAAAAGCGGCGTTAAACCCAACTCACTCACTCACTCATTCAACAAACAAATGCTTGTCGTAAGAGGTGACTGCCGGGATCGGGTGGTCAGACAGCTGACATGATTCAAATTTCACCCTTTTATGACCTAGGGACGTGTTCTATAGCTTTTCGTCTGTGGTCGACATTCAGCCTTTGTGTCTGTGGTCGACATTCAGCCTTTGTGTCTGTGGTCGACATTCAGCCTTTGTTGAGTGAATTCGAACATGTGCTTTTTGAGATTTGCATTAAAGTACAGTAATCGGGACTCAGGGGTGTAACACTATTCAGTGTTGCATGGAATGGAGGGGGTGGCCGACTTATATTTAGAAAATCACCGTGTGATGTTGTGTATTGTCCAGCGATATGGATGAGTAACTACACCCAGGGACACCACAAGTCATCCCCCGCCTGATACCTGGACGGTTCCCTCCCTTCAGTCAGACATGCAACCCATGCTTGCTGCAAAAGGCGACTATGCTTGCCGTAAAAGGCGACTAACGGGATCGGGTGGTCAGGCTCGCTGACTTGGTTGATGCATGTCATCGATCCCAATTGCGTGGATCGATGCTGATGGTATTAATCACTGGATTGTCTGGTCAAAACTCGATTATTTACAGACCGCCGTCATATAGCTGGAAAATTGTTGAGTGCGGCGTTAAACAACAAACCAACCAACCAACCAGACATGCCATTTGTCATACACCTTGTTATTGGCAATCGTCATACAGTTGAGTAGGGGTGTAATTTAAGCACTAAAAAAAAACCGAGTTCGTTTTGTCAATTGACCGAAGGAAGGAAAAGTCCAATCCAGTTCCTTGATGCTGCAGGTCACCCATTGAAGCTTGGATAGCAATTATCCGCCATTATGATGCTTTGAATGTTGAATTATGTTATTTATTCTTGTTAAATATGGTTCATATTTATAATAGTATGTTGAATAAACCATACTTATTTATTAATTACTTTTCTGCTTTACAATTTGTTTTCTTACAATCTGCAAATGAATTAGCACAAGATCATTCATAATTATAATCCTGGTGTTCCCTATAATTCAAACTTAAACATAAACACAGTTAATGATCTGTGTGGAACAGTCCATATTGATCGGTAGAAGGCAGGGGATTAGTGGTCCAGTCATGCATATCCTATGTTGTTATAAGCTGTATGACAACTGGCCTGTATGACTGATGGGAGAATACCAATGGGCGGTGAGAGGTGAATTACCATGTTTCCCGAGCAGCAGCAAGATACACTGCTTCGACACTGACCACTTGCTGTAAAAGGACCACGTTTGGTCAGTAAAATATAACTACACTGTCTGTTGATAAACATCTGCCAAGATCCCGTTGGACTCAAGTGTAAATTAATTCAACGCAACATTATAACTTGCCACATCCAGTTTATTAGCACGATCAAATTCAGCAGCACAAAATTTAACTTAAAAAGGCTGCGTCAGTCTACGAATATTATATACATACGCATGCCCAGCGAGTGACATACATTCGGTGCGTTTGTACATTCGATACACCCTCATCAAGTTGAAGTTTGTTGTGTATGTTTGTATGTTTGTATGTTTTGTATAACGCCACACTCAACAGCCTGTAAATAATCGAGTCTGGGCCAGACAACCAATAATTGACATAACGAACAACCATCTACGCCATGGGGTACCATAACACGCAATCAACAAGTCACGGAACCTGACCACCCAATACGAAAGTAAATGTTGTTGCAGATTGATTTGAACCAGGAATCTATGGTGGCCGAGAGGGGACATCGCTTTCTCGCTTTCTCGCTCTATCGCTCTATCGCTTTCTCGCTTTATCGCTCTATCGCTTTATCGCTTTCTCGCGGTGTAGCAATATCCTCTCTTGGCCACTATAGGGTTACATGTGTTATGTGTTTCTATACGATAAAACGTGTATATTCACCTTAGTGTCATTAAGAGGGGATTGAGGGTGGGTTGTAATGTCGGGGTATGGGTGGGTGGGGGGGGGGGGGGGGGGGGGGGGGTGTGTGTCTCTACTGAGGTGGGTTTTTCATACATCATAGCTGAGGCTTTTCCAATCCCATTTAAAACTGTACCTATGGTGGGACAAATTTCTCACTATCTACTTTAACGTAATTTAACTGTACAGGCGTATGTAATTTTTAAAACAATTCACGGATTTCTGCGTATAAAGGTAATTGAAGATTGAAGCCCTATCTTCGTGGCAATAACCTGACGTATTTTCCTGTGTTTGAATGACATATTGTTGTCAAAAACCGTAATGTGAAAATAGATAGTAGTTTAAGTTGGTATTTCCGCTATTCAAAGTGTGCAGTGAGGCCGTCTTATCAACAGTCATTTCTGAGACATAAATGCAAAGTTTAATCAATTAAGTCCACTCGCATTTGTCGCATTTAATCAGTTCTCGCGTTATAATTTCATGATTTATAGTATGTTCTATTCAAAATACATCCGATTCTTTCAACATATGACTTTGAGAGAGAGAGAGAGGAGAGAGAGAGAGAGAGGAGAGAGAGCGACAGAGGGATAGAGCGAGAAAGCGAGAAAGCGATAAAGCGATGTCCCCTCTCGGCCACCATAGGAATCCCCACGGGGTTAAAGTTGAAGGTGAAGCCAGCAGTGTGATGTGTGTTTCGGAAAGACCAGCATTGCACAATTTTCTAAACACACCCTCTCAAAACACAGCATTGTGTAGTACGTCTCATAAGGATCACGTGATGCTAACATACATGTACATGACACACTTCGGAAAACACCACCTCCTGAATCAGAAACATATTTTTAGATGTCGGTCATAGGCGAGTGGTAACTCAATTGAGATTGTCCTATTATGTACGGGTGAGTCAAGACATTCCGCAGTGCGACATTGCGAAAGAGATCTCCGAACCGTGCTGTACAATTATGCTTACTTAAAAAAGTAATCTTCTCTCTCTCTCTCTCTCTCTCTCTCTCTCTCTCTCTCTCTCTCTCTCTCTCTCTCTCTCTCTCTCTCTCTCTCTCTCTCTCTCAAATGACACGCTCACGAATCCCGGTTCGCCCTGAATATGTTTCTAGATTTGACATGGGTTTCAGCATTTCAATCAGGAAGACGCCTATATCTCTAACCTAAAAACATCCAAGTATGCTTATAATGTATTATCCTTTCAGCACGTACAAAACAGGATTTTTGAGAAAGCTCTCAAAATTGTTCACTCAAATACTGAGTTATTTTTAACACCGCCCAACCCATTAATATGTGTTTCACTACTTACATCCGCGTCTTCCTAAAAAACATATTCAATATAAGTATATGTATACCTACTGTACATATCTATGCGACCCGTGAAGATCTGGGGTAGAATAGACCTTCAGCAACCCATGCTTGCCGAAAGGCGACTATGATTGTCGTAAGAGGTGACTAACGGGATCGGGTGGTCAGACTCGCTGACTTGGTAGATGCATGTTATCGTATCTCTGATTCTAGGGTTACCGGCGACGTTAGAGAATGAGCATTTGTGATTTGATAAAAAACAACAGATATTCCTGATCATTAATATGTTATTTTTTAATTCAATTCTCCGAGTACATATCCGATATTTCTATTTTGAAACATCCACTAAGTAACGACGCGAATGGTGATTTAGTAAATAATATGTTTATACAGAAAATGGCGATATTTATGATGTTCCTAATTTTCAGAGGTTATTTTCAGTAATTTTGCTTTGCCTGAAATGACAGTGGATGATGGAACAGGGAATTTCCTACAGAATTGAAAAACTTGAAGTGTATCTGTGTGGGGGATTTAATTTGAATTTTATTTGACTTCAAAGTGAGGGTTGAAGAGGAGGGTCATATATCCCTTTATCATTTAACTTAAGCATTTGTCCATGACATAAGCTTATGACATAAAAACATGTATGTCATACCCCAATGACATAAGTATGCAAATTAGATATGCAAATTAGATAACCGGAAGAGCGAGCGGTTTGATTTGAAACTATATATTATAAGTGAAGTTACACCAGAGATATAATCAGATTACACAGAATCGTTGTTGTTACCGTTATTAAAGTTTCAATTATTCTGCAAAAGTCTGTTCAAGTATTTTGTTTAAAATAATCCGAGGAACTTTTTTTCTCATGGCTATGGAAAACATGTATCACTACGCACGATCTATACGTAAGATTTCGACAAGTTGCTGATGTTAATGTTTAATGCAATTATTCCTTAATTTGGAAGCAAAAATGTGAAAATGATAAATAGAATTAATCACTCGTGTTTTTTAATATGGGAAATATCAACCTCGTCCCGTTAATCGGTATTTGCCTCGCCAAAGGCTCGGCAAATACCGATTAACTAAGACTCGGTTGATATTTCCCATATTAAAAAACACTCGTTATGAATCCTCTATGTGTCAACCCGTGGTTTATGTATATATGTTATGATGTGTTTTAATGCAGAGTAATAAGTGTTTTAATGAAACCTTGTCTGAAAAAGAAATGATAATGTATTGTCCTATATTGTCGATGCTCGTGATTGTAGTAAGCATGGGAGACAACATAGAAATGTTCAACTCGGGGATTCCCCATGAAAAGTGGTTCCGGTCAAATGTCAAAAGGTGAAACTTACATTTTTTTGAAAAAATGAACGGGTCATGTGTGCAGAAAATAAACCAATCAAATCATCGGAAATCCCTTAATTTGCAAAATAAGAATTTATACACTTACTATATGAACGCCAATTTCGCTGTCATGTGACCGATCTCTCTTCCAATAGAAAATCCGTATATCGTTTAAACCTCTATATAAAAAAATATTTAGTGAAGTTTTATCTGGCCTAGTTTATATAAAATTCTGAAAAGTATGCAAATTTTTTTCCAAAAGTTTATTATATTTTTCTTACTTTTAATTTGTATGTGTTTGTGAAGGGTACCGCCGCTGGGGCAGGATACGCTAAACCTTTCCGGGAACGCCTGGTATTGTCACTGACTGATAATGATTCATGAAGACATACTGATCAAGTAGTCGGAATCGGTTAATAATTTCAATATTCTTTTATGATTATGGAAAGGGTTTTTTCGCTTATAAATATCAATTTTACTTACTTTAAAATATGCTCCTCACTGTTATGAACAAAGATTGATAGAGATATCTTTTTATAACAATTGATTAATACATGTAGACATTAAATTAATTTGTATTTGCAATAATATTTTTAAAAACATGTAAATGAAAACGGCTTCAATCTGCACAAGATTATTTTGAATCCACAGAAGCGCCCGTAAAATATTGGAGGTGTGTCTAGTCTGACCAATCACCAAACATGATGTCATATCTAAATTTAGATTTCTGGCCTTCACCTTGAACATTTCCGTGGTCGTATTGTTGTTGTCTGGGAGAGGAGATATGCCTTGTTTTAAGTGATTCTAAGTGTTTGGTGTGTGATGCTTCCCGTTTCTTTGACACTAGCTACCTATGTTATCCCCGGAACCACTTTCCCTGGCATAATATCTTATCACGGTTACCGCCGATTCAAAAGTTGGAATTCCACGAGGCCTCGTGTACCCTATTTTCGGTGGTCTAACAACCACTGTCAAGATACATCAATGGACAGCGCTCGTCGATTGTCAAGTGGCGATACGTGTGGTGACAATACTAAACATATAGATAAAGAATATCCACGAATTATGAAACAACTACTGCAAGTAGAAGCGCAGAATCTGACCGAAGCAGAACGGGCAATACACGACCGACACTCCATTGCTATGCAGGTATTTTGTTGTTGTTGTTGATGTTGTTGTTTGCTGTTTAACGCCGCACTCAGCAATATTCCAGCTATTTGACAGCGGTATGTAAATAATCGAGTCTGGACCAGACAACCCAGTATTGACATCATGAGCATCGATACACGCAATTGGGATACGATGACATGCATCAACCAAGCCGGTGATCCTGACCACCCGATCCCGTTAGGCGCCTGTAACGACAAGCACGGGCTGTTGAAGACCAATTCTAACCCGGATCGTCAGGGGTTACATCCCTTTTAACATGCTATCAATGACCAGTGTGTATTCTCTATCCGTAAAACGCCGTGGTATAAAGTTATGTTCAAGGCGGCGTTAAACCTTCTCGCTCACAAAACCATGTATAACTATTTCCTTCACAACCTAAACGGCCTTAACTAATTATACGACAACCCTCATTTGTTGTAATGACCAAACAAATATCCTGATCTAACAATTAATACAAATAAAATACAAAAAATACATACAGGTAAACGCCGTTTTGTCGAACTTATGGTTTTCTCGAAGTAAAACCTTTTCTCATGCCTACTCCTTCTTTGTTCATCATGCTCCATTTGTGTCGAACCTCCGATAACTCGAAGTATTTACGTAGGGCCCTTTTATGAAATGGACTGTCGAAAACTTTAAGATTAAACAATTTTCTTTTGATGAAGACAAATTGACTTCTAAATACCGTTTAAATAATGTTTGTACTGTTAAACGATATGCTATTGCTAACAATACGAACTACTGATGTAAATTATGTTTGTGTAAACAATCGCCAACAACTTACAGTAACATTACATGTATAAACAAGTTGAATGCTTCAGGCTTCGGTTGTGTGACTACAAGAAGTGTTGGTTTCATTCGTTCGTTCGTTCGTTCGTTCGTCCTTACTGCGTGCGTGAGTGAGTAAATGAGGGTGTACACACCGCATTTAGCAATATTCCCTCAATATCACGACAGGGGACACCAGAAATGGGCTTCACACATTGTACCCATTCCGAAAATCGAACCCATGTCTAAGGCGTGACGAGCGAACGCTTTAACCGCTAGGCTAACCCACCGTCGCTGAGATAAATCAGGTACACTAAAATATGAAATATTACCGATATGTTTTATATGTATCATACATACAAACTAGAATAAAGATATTAAGATAATGCGGTGCAATTTCCGTCATGAGGTTCCTCTTTCGCAAGATTTGCGACCTTTTACTTGATGCCGCTTTGCCGCGGTTGGGTTTTTAAAGCTATCATCCAGTTTATCATGCATTTGGTTTCAGAGGAAGGAGGATTTCTACGTCGATCCCGCAACCACGTTCCAAGTGATGACCAGTTTAGCGCATCTGAAGAGGGGAGACTGCTGCGGGAATGAGTGTCGACACGTAAGTTCTTACGGTTTCTGTGGGAGTGAATGTTGTTTAACGCCGCACCCCGTTATTCCAGTTACATCACGACTGCCTGTAAATAATCAAGTCCGAACAGGTAAACCAGTGATTGAAAGCATGAGCACCGATTCACGCCGTCGGGGCACGATGACACAGCTAATTAAGTCACTAAGCCTGGCCACCCGATCCACGTTCGACTACAGTTATGACACGCAGAGTGAGTGAGTGTGTGAGTGACTATGGTTTTGCGCCGCTATTTATTAATATGCGAAGTGAATGGGTGCGTGAGGTTTTACGCCGCTTTTAGCAATATTCCAGCAATATCACGGCGGCGAACACAAGAAATAGCCTCCACACAGGTGGGAAATCCTGGGATTTTTGGCGTAAGAGCGAACACCTTATCCACAAGGCTACCCAACGCCCCCACATGCATAGGTTACTGGGGACGTATCCTAAGCCGGGTCCGCACGGGCGATTACACTTCCAGGTAATATATGTGTAATAAATTATGAACAATTACAATACAAGTGTGTATGCTATAACGCTTAAGATTCCACAAAACGGAGGGACAGGTTTCACGTGCGTGACATATATTACGGTCTGTGGCTAAGTTTGCATTCAGATTGCATTCTCAACTCCCTGGGAAATGTACAATCCAAGTTACATGGCGTTAGTCCTCCATTCAGAATTTTCATTAATGATTGATTGTTTCATTGTGGTACCTTCTTCAAATTATTACATGCTAGGGTCACTGGTGGCCCAGTCGTCTACGTGAGTGAGTGAGTTTGTTTTTACGCCGCGTTTAGCAATATTCCTGCAACGTCACTGCGTGGGCAATGTAGCAATCATCTAAGGCGCCGATGGCGTACGACGTTGCTCATAACATCAATCACATGGGCTGTCTGGCCTGCAGAGCTCCAGATAACTTTTTGAACAATTGAGTTTTTAATCCAGGATTTCTATTTTAATTGGGTAATTACATTTTTCATTGTGTAACCAATATTTTTTCACACATCTATTCATCACTCTTTTGGGGTTATCCCAATATTAGTGAACATTTTAAGCTTTAGAAAAAGTGAAATAATGTTCTAAATACATTGGTTTGACTCGGAATGTAAATTAGCTCATAATTGTGTTGTGGAAATTTGGTCCTTTGTGCGCATGCTGCAAAAGCTCGATTATTCACAGCCGGAATATTGATGACTGCTCTCAAATCAGCAAAATCAGCGTCGAGGCATCTACATTCATTGCACGAGTGAGCGAAACATTCAGATCACCATATCTGATTTCTCGAAAACGAATTAAAACGACCACTTCCGAATGTAAAGAATTAAGTGAGTGAGTGAGTATTGTTTTACGCCGCTTTTAGAAGTATTCTGGGGACACCAGAAATGGGCTTCACACATTGTACCAATGTCGGGAGTCGAACCCGCTTCTTCGGCGTGACGAGCTTACGCTTTAACTACTAGGCTACCCTGTAAATAAATAAGGCCGTCATTATATGGTGACATGTCATCTTCACCTGAATGGGAGTTCAACGGGATTTTCTGGACGATTTGCGCAAGGTCCATCTTCTATGCAGGTGTCGTCACACTGAGAGATTACCCTAGCGTATATCGGGGGCACGGGTGGCCCAGTCGTCTAAGGCGCCGCGATTCGCTGTGCAGAATTGCGTCCCTTGGGCTCGCCAGAAACCTATCATTGTGGGTTCGAATCACGGTTCGCCCCGATTATGTTTCTAGGTTTGTCAGCACCCATACCCGGCTCGTGGGTTTCTCCAAAGTTGTAAACGTCTGAGACCTGCATCACTTAGGGCTTTCCTCCCACATTAAGCTGACACGCCGTGATATGACTGGAATACCGTTAAAAACGGCGTTAAACCCAACTCACTCACTCACCTACCGTATATCGAAACCGTACCTTATATACATCCCGGCAGAGTTATGTCCCCCTGGAGTAGCGGAAGTCTAGCTCATGGCACGGGTCACGGTATCTGCCCTTAATGAGTTGACACGCCGTGCTATGTACTTATAAATACTCTTTTCCTGTTTTATTTCAGTGTCCATACGGTCATGCGAATGTTCCTGATTCTAAGAAGACGAAAACCTTCAACAGCTCTTTCTATGTCTGACTAAAGTTGTCTATAGTATAACGATAGCTTCAACAGTATGTTTTCCTACAGATGTGTACAAGAACAATGTGTAATGTTGTATAAATGATGAATACGATCACAAAAAAGTGTTGAATATTTTGTTGTTGCCTATACGTCGCACTCAGCAATCAAGTTTAATCACAGCAAATTTTATTTTTTTTAAATTAAAATTTTATTTCCACGATTTTACAACCGACCCTACATGACCACTTGACTGGTCTAACGGGTCGCACTGGAGACCGTGCCACACACAACAGACGTTATTGCGTGCTCAACCTCTCATGTCGACGAAGTGAGTGAGTTAGTATACATTTACGCCGCTTTTAGCAATATTCCAGCAATATCACGGCGAAGAACTGTGACGTTCAATCAGCCACCTGAGTCCTATTATAGTCAGACAAACATTGTCTCCGCAACATTTCATCTATAGGACGGCGGTCTGTAAATGTTCGAGTCTAGCTGCACCAGACAATCCAGTGATTGACATCATGAGCATCGATCCACACATTCGTTATTTACAAGGAAATAACGCCGTTTAGTGTTAATCTGCTCCTGACACAGAACCACTATTGAAAGAAAGAAACTGGAATTTGTCCAAACAGATGTGTATGCTAATTTGTATACCAAAACACCGAAAAAAAACCCTGAAATATGCATCGGATTCGCAGACCTGGCTATATATTTCTGTTTTGGTAAATGTTTCGTTTGACAAAAAAATCAATTTGTCTTTTATATCTCTTGATATGAAACATCTAAAACTCGTAAGCTCAGAGTCGGGCTTCAATTCTTTAAATCCGATTTGGAAGAAGAGAGCTTCAAATCATGTACACTACTTCTACGTCCTGTTATGTTTAGAAATAAAGCCATTGTCAATGTGCTATCGCCCTCTTAAGTCAAAACGTAATTATTTTTTTATGATGGGAAGCTTAATGGTAAAAAAGCAATCGGCCCGTTAACGCCCTGTGAGAGGACAACGCACTCGGGATCAATGTGAAATGAACAAAAAATCTTAATACTTTCATAAGTAGGCATAAGTGATTTGGGTTTTAACGCCGCTTTGAAAATTATTCCCGTTATTTCACGGCGTGTCAGCTTAATGTGGAAGGAAAGCCCGAAGTGATGCAGGTGTAAGACGGTTACCACATCGGTGAAACCCACGAGCACGGGTATGGTGCTGACAAACCTAGAAATATAATCGGGGCGAACCGGGATTCCAACCCACAATCATAGGTTTCTGGCGTGGCCAAGGGACGCAACTCTGCACAGCGAATCGCGGCGTCTTAGACGACTGGGCCACCCTGCCCCCGGAAAGTGAGTGAGTGAGTGAGTTGGGTTTAACGCCGCTTTTAACAGTATTCCAGTTATATCAAGGCGTGTCAGCTTAATGTGGAAGGAAAGCCCGAAGTGATGCAGATGTAAGACGGTCACCACTTGGCTGAAACCCACGAGCACGGGCATGGTACTGACAAACCTAGAAACGTAATCGGGGCGAACCGGGATTCAAACCCATAGTCGCATGTTTCTGACGTACTCTGACACTGCGAATTGCGGCGCCTGATCTGATGCGTTTTGCACTAGAAAGTACGCGTATAGAAAGACCACGGAACATGATATTTGAACAATTTCAGTTTATTGCCAAGATGACGTCTGAATTTGCCATTAATGATGTGGAATGTCAGTGTGATACGCGAGCCGCCCGTTAACTACAAATGAAATGATCGCGTTTTGTGACCAACAATGAAGAAATAATATGATACTAAAACAATAAACAACCAATACCAATTGATTCATTAGTCTTATCACTGAGACGACATTGGGTACAAAACAGAAATAATCTAGAAATAATAATATGAAAATTGATAAAGTAGTCCCTTTTTTGTTGACGTTAATTTACGGGCTCGTAGAATCTCTGCGTTATTAATATTTCAGACTGTATAAAATTGACCTTGTTTGAACGATTGAGGATAGTCTTAATATTCACCGTGTTTTCTATGCATTCCATCTTCTTGTTGCCTTTAATGATGGCAGTGGTAGCATCATCAACCATGAGTTCTCTATTCGTACTTGGCGTCTTCATGCTAATGAACAGCGGTATGTCATGTTTCTGGTTTATTGTTTTGGTTTAATGATAACAGAAGTAAACCTCTTTTATACATGTATATTAGAGGAGGCAGTGTCGAACTTGTAGTTTTATTAAGCTTATAGAGACAACGGTAGCGTCGTATAAAGGAATATGTCTTATGATATAAGGGGAAGTCGGGTAGCCTAGTGGTTAAAGCGTTCGCTCGTCACGCCTAAGACCTGGGTTCGATTCCCGACATGGGTACAATGTGTGAAGCCCATTTCTGGTGTCCCCCCTCCATGATATTGCTGTAACATTGCTAAAAGCGGCGTAAAACATACTCACTCGTATGATATAAATCAGATTAAACATGTCATGATTTAAATCGTGTATGTGTGTGTTAATATAATATCAATATTTTCATATTTCCAAATTATTGGGCACGTGAAGATCTGGGTTAGAATAGGTCTTCAGCAACCAATGCTTGCCGTAAAAGGCGACTATGCTTGTCGTAAGAGGCGACTAACGGAATCGGGTGGTATGGCTCGCTGACTTTTTATATCCATGTCATCGTATCCCATTTGCGTTGATCGATGCTTGTGTTGTCAGTCACTGTATTGTCTGGTCCAGGCTTGATAACTTACATACCGCCGTCATATATCTGGAATATTGCTGAGCGCGGCGTTAAACAACAAACAAACAAATCAATATTACTGTCACCATAATCGTCAAATGCATAATATATGTAATGTGAGTCCATGTATACGACAAATAATCTAATGGTAGTGAAATATTATCAAACTGTGTAACACTTAGAATGGTTTTTTTCTATTTCAAACGAGTACTGTTTTCAAAGCACGGGGTTCGTTTTTCACGTGACATATTACGCTTGATTTCATCAAGACCATTGGTTTTGAAGACAGATAACTTGTCACGTAACATCTTTTTACATACCAACATACATTCACTGAACTGGATTTTTTAACACCATTCAACATCGAACCGCCTCCGTGGTCTAGTGGTAGAGCGTCCGCCCGGAGAGCGGAAGGTCCGGGGTTCCATCCCCGGCCGCGTCATACCAAAAGACGTTAAAAGATGGTACTTGTTGTTACCCTGTCTGGCGCTCGGCATTAAGGGGCTAAACGAGGACTGGTCGGCTCGGAGTCAGTATAGTGTGTCTGAGTGGGGTATTTATGCTAAACTGCGGCATGGTATCTCAGTGAGCTAGCACTATAAATCGGCATTAGTCCGGACTAGTACAAGCAGCCACACAAACACACACACGTACATGCACGTCGCTATATAAGTGCAATAATCTTGGACGCGAAGTTAAACCTCATTTCACCTCACCTCACCATTCAACATCGCGGAAAAGATGGCTTGCGTGTTTACACATTTTCTAAAGCAATAAATTAAGCCAAACGATCGCTAAAAAGTTCCGCGTCGGTTCTGAACTAGTTTCATACCTGAAATCCCCATTCTTTATTTTCACATACGTCACTAAGTTAATTTTTCAACTGAAAATGTGTTGTTGTTTGTCTGTTGTTTAACGCCGCACTCAGTAATATTCCAGCTATATTAAGGCGGTCTGTAAATAATCTGGTCTGGACCAGACGATCCAGTGATTGACATCATGAGCATCGATCCACGAAATTGGGATACGATGACATGCATCAACTAAGTCGCCTCCTACGACAAGCAACAGAATGCTTAAACTTGATAGAATATTAGCATTTTGTCAATGAATGTGGTCATATAGAATCAGGTGAGCTACAGTACCCATCCAATTTGTTCCAGTTTCGGCTGCGTGTGTCAATACCCCTTTCTGGAGAAAAGAGGTGTGGTTGGCGAATAAGTCCACCGCCCGGATTAAGGCAGTATTCCATAACAGCGCTAAGCATGGCGTGGACCTGTGGCAGCAACTGCCCTTTGGGTGCAGGGCGGTTGTCGTGTGTTTACCGGTGAGAACCATCCTAAAAAGGACCAACCATTTTATATTATAGGGGTGCGGGGTGGCTATGTTTTGTGAAAAAAAGATTTATTTCTTGAAAAAACTCAAAAAATTATTTTGCATCAGATTTATACATTTTTTTTTAATTTCAAGAGATCCTTGAATGTTGCTAAAAGCAGCCAAAACCCATACTCAATTCACTATACCTGAAGAAATTGTGCTCGGAATACCCTTTTTTTTGCTCCTCCTCTCAGGGAAATAGATCTCATGTCTTAATACAACAACAAAATTTCTTATGTCCTTATAAAACCTTTTTTTTAACTTGATATCCTAGAATGTTGCTAAAAAGAGCGAAAACCAATACTCAATTCTCTGCACCTGAACAAGTGGGGTTCTGAGTCTGCAAAACATTTTGTGCTCTCTTGTCTTGAGGCAGTTACATAAAAAAAACATTTTATAACTTCTAAAACAACCATCGGGTGCCAGGATATTAAATGGACGGGTGCGAATTGAAAGAGCTGGTGCATGTTGCTTCATCATTAACTGAATTATTTATTGATATGCTTGTGCCATAAATAAATAGAGATTATGTGTTTTCGTGTCATACTCTATAGAAATAATATTTGCCAAATTGAAATAAATTGAATAGATTTGCATTGGCTGATACGCGAACTTTGACCCTTTTTATATAACATGACGATAATGTTGCATAGACCTTTTAGCTGTGCCTTTGAATGCTCTTTGAAATAATATTACCCAATGCTCTTTTGGCCATTTCAAATTTGTTGCCATATTTTCAAAATGCAAGAAACAAAAAGCAACTTCTTTTTCTTGGAAAGAGGGGAACATCTGACCTTTCTAGACACATCAACGTAATTTTGAGAAGAATATTTCTGTTTTGCAATTCAAATGTCTTCGATTTGAACTACCTCTCCTCTCTTAACCTTTCTGTTGGAAATTCTGCTTCTTTCAATTCTAGTTCTTTGTCGATCGATTTTTTTGTTTTTCTCTTTTAAATTCCCTCTTCTATCTCATTTTTTATTTCCGATTCTTTCAATTTTAGTTATCTTTGAAATGCTCACTCT